GTCCTCCAGCAGACTTTTTGGTGGATTTACACCCACACGTCGTCCACTTTGTTGACGCGGCTGACTCGTCTGCTTTTTCTCCCCCTCAGATTTCAGCTCAGAGCGAGGGGTTTTATCTCGTCATGCAACTTTGGAAGAAAGACTTCAGTGGAGTCAAAGTTTCTCTGCACTTGGATGATGTTCCCTCACACGTACTCACACTTCATGACACACTTGACTAGTATTCCCTTTGTGCTGTCTCCTCCATAAAGCTGCAGACGCTGAACGCTGTCAGACAGATATGAGAGGCTGATTGTGTTTATCTTGCAAACAGAGAGGAAAAGACTTTGATTTGATTTGATGTTGTTTTGCCTTTATAGTCAAATATGGCATCAACAAACCAGAGGAGGTTTTGTTTCGGGGATGAGGAGTGTGTTTTTTAAGAAATTAGATGGTTCTCATCTGCATTACTGTGAGCCTGCCGCCCACCTCTCCTCCACGTATTTTCTCACTGTGTCAGGTAAAATCTCACTTCACTCTCAAACCCAATTATCTTCCCTATCACCTTTTAATAAGATTACTTCCTTCCGCAGACTGCATCCTGCTATAAATGTATTTTTTAGATTTATTTTAAGCTTTTTGTAGTGAGACAAGTTTCAGAGGAGGAACGTCGCTGCCCAGCCAGTAAAGAAAATATTTTTTTGAGGTTTCAACCCCAGATTATCAGCTTCTTTCTCATCCTGTGGTTCTTACCTTTTACTCTCTCTGAGAATCTTATTGTATTTTACCAACTAGGCTTTTCATGCAACATGATGAAACATGGATGATGTTTTAGGCTATTTAGATGTTAATACTTTGGGGATTTACTATCTTATGAAACACTTGTCTTTATAAGTTTTGTATCCCATCAGGATACAAAAGTGATTCTTGATGTAAATATCATGTCATTGCAATCCGACCACTGGTTGTTTAATGGGGTTACAAGATTAAGTTAGGACATTTTCGTGGGGTAAGGTTCGTCAGCCCTTGGGGGACCCCAAGCAACTGCCTGTTTAGCCTCTTTACAAGCTCCTGCTCTGTCTGCAACCCAGTGTTTTCGCCTGTGTCTTTAAAAAAGAGAGTTTCGATCTCAACTGAACCAAGTATGAGTTAAATCTATCCAGAGCAGCAAATCTTACATTTGCTTAAAGAAGCGGCGCGTACTGACCGCGAGGAGCGCGCACACAGACTCACATACACAAACATTTAGGCGCGCAAACGCCAAACTTTTCCTTCCTGTGAGCGTGCCAACCACCCGGTAAACACGGTAATCATTCCTCTACTCCTCTCTGTTTAACAGCGTAACCAAGGACGCACACTCAGAGCTCCATTTTCACTTAAAACACACATTCACGCGAGATCAGATCCACATACCTGCTGAAGGTGTGTTACAGCCACGATCCGCCGCGTGCGCCCAGGTGTATCCAACTGAAGAAACGGAGCGTAGACTTTCCGCATCCTAAATAAGCAGATATGGCGGGTTAACGTGGTCACATGTTTAGGTAAGTTTTTTTTTTTTTTTTTTTTTTTTTGGGGGGGGGGGGGGTGTTAGGGTAAAGTAAAATTCAAAAAGAAATCGAGTATGACAAGATCTAAATGCTTAAAATAAGAAGAAACTAGATTTTAAAGTATATTTATCTGTTGAAACAGAAGTCTTGCCTTGTTGGCATTTTTTTACCTTGATTTTCTACATGTAGGGGAGAGTGGGGTAAGTTGAGCCACCTCCTGTTGCTTGGAAATGGTAAAAGAAGATGTAAAAGAAGATTTCTTCCATTACACGGGTGTTTTTCCACTTTCTATGAGTTCCCACAACACTAACCAAAACCTAAATCAAACATGTGAATAATGCAGGATGAATATTTCCACTTTTAGAGCCGAGGAGGACCTACGTTCACATTTAAAGAGGTTACACGCTCTGATATATATAGAGAGATAAATGTTGGATCAAAACGTTTGAGTCTGAAGAAGCAGGAGTTTAACTTTTTATGTGTTTTTATGAGCATAATTTCTGATGCTCACCCGCTCTCTGTGACTCTGAGGGGTGTTGACTTGTCAGAGGTTGTGTCTGGCGTCCTTTGTTTGGAGCACCCACTGTTTTTAACCTCCACCCTGCCTTTGAGTTAGTGTGTTTCTGTCAGGCAGCAAACCCAGCTTGGCAGGCCCAAAACAGCCAGCCCTTCTATTAAACATTCATGAACTGCAGTGCAGAGGCACCAATGCAGAAAGGTCACTCAAGAATGATCGCTGTAGTCAGGTATAGCTCGCTCGCATCAGCACGCCTCCCTGTAATAAATAAATACATTCTCCACAGACGTGCACCTGGTGGCCCGCTCCCTCCGTAATAGAAAAAAAGGAAAAAGCCATTGTTGCACGTTCTCCCTCTATATCTGCCATATAAGTAAAATAAAGCGACACAGTGGAATATAAGCCACTCACCTGAATCCAGCACCTGTGTCTTTGAATAATGAGGTCGCTGATCGTACCACTAAAGGAGCAGTTCACCAAAATGCAACCGACAGACTTATTCTCAACATAGAGAAGAGAGTGAGAACCATTAAAATATTATACATAAAAAAGTTCAGTCATGTTCCACTGGGTCAATTTTTTCAAGATGGAAAAAATCTGTTTACTTCAATTTCAGTTTAGACTGTTGGCAAATAAATTACAATTCTTCTTGGTTCAACCCATGTAACCCGTTTTTATTTTACTTTTATTATCCTCTGCGCCAATGGAAAAAAAATGGAAAAAAATAAAACTTTTTATAAAGGTATCGGTAAAAGGTGGAAAAAAACTCAACTATTGTCATATTCTCAGAGTATTTTTTCAACTTTCCACTCTCACAGGAGCTTAAGTTTTGAGGATTTTACTGATGCAGATTCAGGATTTAAGAGCTCTCAAGTAGCAACTAAAATTCTCCCAAATTTCTAGTTGTTAATTTTAGTATGCTCCAAATTAAACAGCATAATCATTGGAAATAAGTCGCCAGAGTTATTATGAAGTGTTTCTTCCTTCTGCCCTGGGAGTCATGATCTTGGTCTGACAGTATTTCTCAATTAAAAGAGCACACTTACACGTCTGCAGAGCTCTATGAAGAAGCATGTCCTTGCATAAAAAACAGACATGCATGTTGACTTTTCCGGTTTAATTCTTTGGACAGGCTTATTACAGCAGGATGAAGTTCTTCTGATGATAGCAGGCTCCTCCGGTCACTTTACTGAAGTGCATAATTATGTTCAGTGGATAGTGAATGATGGCTACAGGCTTTAATGAACTCAAAGAGAGGACTTGAAGAGTGTGTAACCTACAAGGAAATCTCTGAAATACAACTAACCTTCTTATTTTACACAGCTCAATGAAACACATCACTGTGACACCAGTTTATGGAAAGCTTTATATCACCTTAACTGTAATTTAACACTTTAGAAATGATAAGATCAGCTTTAAAAAAAGTAAAGAAGTGCTCTTAATAAAACTGTTTCAGTTTTGGACTCTGGTATGAATCAATGTCAGTGCATTATAACTCAACAGGGATCCAGAGTAAATAAACTCATATTTACACTTTTTCTTGCATTTATATATGTGATTATTCCCTGACTTTGCATCTGCAACAGTTTTCGATTTAAAGAGACTTCTCTCAACGACACTAACGTGTTTTTAAAGACCGAGCGTTTTTGCACGGTGTCTTTGCAGCATTAACCTTATCATTTTATCTTTAGCTGTTGCAGGTTGTTTAAAGCACACAGGCCATTAGAAGGTAATCGCTGGGGACCAGACTCAATGGAGTGGGAAGGGCTGCTTGAAGGGCCAGAAAAACAAATCACATTACACCTCAATTAACACCAGAGCGGCCTCTGGAGTCCACTTTCATCTGGACTAATAAAACTACGTCTCTCTCACTGACACGCTGCCCGCCATGCAAATAATCTGTATTCTGTACATCTGATGAAATGAGAGCAGGAGCAGACGGACACGGAGAGAGGAGGGACACATTTACAGTACGAGCTAGTTACAGTACAGAGCTCTCCACGTCTCTCCCTGACCCCCTCGTCTCGGTTGGTTAATTATGAAACGCTGCAGCTGGCTCAGAAGGCAGCGAGCTGATAAGTCCACCCCGTGGAGTGCCCTGTGTCCCCATCACAAGACAAGGACAGTCCCACAGAGCGGCCGCTGTACAGCTCAGGGCCAATTACCCACCTGCTGCATGACTGCAGCTCAGGGGTGTCACTTCATGCTAATACCAGTCCATAATTGCTGTTGTTTTCCCAGTTAGATGGTTATGGAAATGAGACATTAGCAGGTTTTAAAAGCCGCTCAAATGACACTATAATACGGCTCGGCTGTGTTTGGATCGTTAGATTCAAGAGCTGGAATTACCGAGAGGAGACACTGCCAACTACCAGTATTAAACAGCTATTAAAAGACTTTGAATTTCTGGTTGCATTTTAACCTAATTGTATGCTAGATTACTTTTAATGATACCTGTTGAAACTTAGCCTTGGAACTGTTTGGAAGCGGTTATAAATATGAGAATAAAACACTCGTTCTGCTCCGGACATGTGGTATCAATTTCAACAGACAAGATCAATTCTCGTATTTCTCCTGGTCCAAGTCCCCTCAGTCTACGATCCAACAGCTGACACATGTTGATGAAAGTCAGCAGATTACAGGGTCACGCTTTCAACTTAAACACTGGCTTCATGATACGCAAAGGATAAACGGTACAGTTGGAAAAATAAGCCTGTGATAGTTTGTGCTTTGGCTCGATTTGCAGCGCTGCAGTGTGAAAACAAAACAAGGCAAGTGAAAAAATGCGACAATGTCATGTTTTTATCTGAACCAGAGCAAAGCAAACGAGCCACAGGTGTGAAAACAGGTTTATTCATGGACGAGATGCTTGGTGACCGTCTGCTGGACACCGTAGAAGACAGAGGCGTTGGTTTCTGCTTCGTAAGAGCAACAGATGCAGAGCCTTAACAGGGAAACCCAGAAACTAGGTCAGTTTGAATTTTGACATTTATTTTATTAACCAGAAAGTTCCACTGAGATTTTGAAACCCTGGAAGGAGGAGAAGGAGGAGAAGCCGTACACGCTGCAAAAACTCAAATCTGAGTAAGTGTTAAGGTCTTAATTTAATTCACATTCAAAAACACGTCATTTTACTCCAACATGCTTAAAAATACTGAATTTTTTTGGCATGTTTTTGACATGTAGTATCCATGTTTCTGGACTTTGGACTCAAATGAAGCTGAATAAGACACCATTTACTTCAAATAAGGCAAAAACATTTAATGAGATTGAGTCTCAAACACATCAAAAAAATTGACACAAACACGACGACATGGAGACATGAAGTAGAAATCTGCAGCACAACGCTTGTAAAGTGCTGGATCTGTGATCAGCCACATTGGACTCATTTATTCCCAGTTTTTAAAATTACCATTGTTTGTGTTGTAAAAATGATCATCTTGCACACTTGGGCGAACAGATGCATTGATAAGAAAACAAGATAATTATATTTTTCATGCATAATAACCCGGTTCCTCATGAATATGAACAAGATTCGTGCTCAGGACACAGAAGTCCCTGCTAAAGCACTTAATTGTCTTTTTTTCTGTACTCCAACATCCTTAATTTGGCTTTAGTGAAAGTTTGAAAACAAACTAAATTTAATTACAAGCACACTTACAATATAATTAACATAGTGTGTAATCTGGGATTGTATCGTCCAACCTCTAATGTGTTTCTACATGTCCAATGAAGCAGATGCATTGCTATTCCACTGCTGGAAAACATGGTAAACAAATACAACATTAGTAGAGGCACTTACTTTTTCATTACCGTCTTTGTTATCGCTGTCACTATCTGTTTTTCACACTGGTTAAGCAGCACCCTGGATAACGTGCCGCCTGTTAATTTCACACCCGATTCCAGAGGCTGCAGCCCTCCTTCTCTTCGCCGTTATTTCCCTCAGGACATCGCAGGAAAGCCTCTGAAAGAGGGGAACAAATCAAGGTCAGAGAAATATCCATATATATAATATAGGTGCTGGAAGGTATAAGGGCTGTATTCCACCATGACCGTAATGACAATCTACGGCGTTGCTGTCACTGTGGGAGCCATATTCTTCAGGACAGGTTGTGCTTACGGGAAAAAAAATCTCAGTCTCACTGGGTCGCTCTCTAAAATTAAATGTACAGATGTTCAATAATTAAAGCAGGAGACTCTGTGTTTAATACCAATCTTATCAGTCCAAAAAAGATGCTCATTCCCTCATTCAGCTGCCCTCCACTCTGGTGACTAATCACTGGGCTCTGAGCTTCAGCTGGCTTTTGCCTCCAAACACATTAGAGAAGATGATGATGAGTGACAGCGACTTCTACATCTCGCCCCAATTAGCGAGCCACCCTTGTTTCCCCTGAACATTTACTATAGGAGGAGGGATGACACATGCCCATCAGTCACTCACCTCTCTTTTTATCCTCCCTCTGACCGCACACAACCCCCTCCCCGCAGACACACAGGCCTGTCGCCACCAGTGTCACAGCCAGCCGCCATCATTCTCAGTGTCTCCTTTCGCATTTACAACTGCAGACTGACGCCCAGTGCTCTGAAATCAAGAGAGCATAAAGCCCAGAACATGCCAGAGTCAAATCAGGGCTTTTTTACGCTGAAATACTTTAAATTATTGGGTCATTTCTAAATAATTTGGCTGAATTAATCCAGTTGTACCTCATCTTAAACAGAAATTATTGGCATATTGGATTTGTGGATCCATTTGAGTGCATGAACAAAACTAATTTCCCAAAGTGAGCAATTAATTGTATTGAACCATACTGCATCATGTTGTGTTGCATTATAACAAAGTCCTGTCACTAATGGTATCGTAACATACAACAGCATAGCATATTGTATCATATTGTGTTGTATTGCATCAAACTGCATGTATATATTGCATCATTTCTTATTGTATTGTGTTGTATCTGATTACATCACACCATGTTTAATTGCGTCATATTGCATCGTATCGTATTGCATCTTTATGCACTGTGTCATACTATACTGTATCTTATTGACGTGACATACTGCATTGTGTTGCATTGCATTATATCAAGTTGTAATGCATCATCTCAAGTTTTCATACATTGTATTGTGTTGTATTGAACTGTCCTATATCTTATTATATTGTAGTGCATCAGATCATGTTGTCACGTATTGCACTGTATCATATTTCACTGTATCATATTGCACCGTATTGTATTTCACTATCTTGTATTGCACCGAAATTGTCTTACACTGTATCATATTTCACCCCATTGAATTGCACCGTATCGTATTGCACTGTATAGTATTTCACTGTATCATATTGCACCATATTATATTGCACTGTATTGAATTCCGCCGTATCATGATGTAATGTATTGTATTTCACCTCAACTTTCTGCACTGCATTGTATTGCACAGTATTGAATTGCACCATATTGCATCATATTAAACTGTATTGTATTGGACTGTATCATTTTGCACCGTATTGAATTGCACTGTATCATATCTTCTGTTTTGTATTTCACCTTATCATATTACACTGTACTGTATTGCAACTTGTTGTCTAACATGGTCTGGTATTAAAAAATGGTGTGTATACATCAGTATTGATATAGGGATTGGCCAAAATGTGTTTGATAATATCAGAAAAATCCAATACCCGACATCGCTCCAATAAACCATCAGAACCTTGCTGTTGACTTGTGCAGAGCAAGTTTATTTAATAATTCAGCAGCACTGGCACTAGAATCAATAGTCTATAAATATAAATGTAAAGATATTCTTTATATGTGTCTGAAATGTTGGTCAGACGTTGTGTCCAATTTGCAGAGCAGCCCCCACTGAGAACACATTTTCTCAAGTCAGAGCACTAGTCGATAAAAAGTGAGGTTTTAGCACTTCAGCTTTTAGCGCCAAATCAAAGGACTTAAGAAAATATCACCTCTTGGTGTGAATTTGCCCCCCTGTAGATGTGACATGGACGGCTGTAAACCACCAAAGACTGATGTGATTGGAGAGACGAATGGGTTTTTTCCTCCACCGCTAAGCTGAACCTCAAAGCTGCACAGAAACATTTCTAACCAATGAAACTGGTGGAAATATGCTGTGAATTAATACCAACAAGCTCAATATATGCGCCTTTTTTTTTTTCAAGGACAGTTTAGAAATACTGGGCTAAATGCATCCATTTGTTTTATTGATCCTTCTTTCATAGGGTGAAAGTGAACCATTAACTTCCTTCTTTGCTCAGGGAGTTTCCTCTATCGACCCGTTCGACTCCAGGGCTCTTCCAAGGCGAGAGAACCAAGAGAGGAGCCAACTGTAAGGAACTGTAAAGACCACATTGGAGCAGAATCCTCAAGAACATGGAGTTTTTTTTTTAAACTTTAAGTCTGTTTTCAACCAAAATAATCAACATATCTGCTGTCTGTAAAGACTCCACCTGCTGCTTCTGACTTAAACCAACAGGCAGTACTGATCGATCATATTCTTCATCCACTTCCTTATTGATTCCTCAAGTCTTTTTTGTCAATAACACAAGTTTCATTGCAAGTTTGATTACCTTCACTATCTGCTAACATGAGTGACCCCGAAAACCCTCAAGATGCATGTGTGCCGTGTTCTGGTTTTGGTCCGTGTGTGGGTGTGTGCCATTGCCCACTGGAATCATGTTTTGTAACGGGTATTGACTGGACCCAATTGCAGCACAAACAAGCAGGTTCACTTTAACAACAGTCTTTATTGAACACCAAATCCAATGAAGCAGCAGAGTATAGCAGGTGGGTATGGAAGGATTCGAACTCGGGTCTTCCGGGTGATAGGCGAGCAGATTAGCAGTGGACCACAGGTCAGGCAAGAGTTTTGGACTCGTGAGCAGGGAATTGTCCACAGTCTTAATTTGCTCCACGAGTGTAGTGAAGGGGAAAACACTCAACTCACAGCTGGAGGAAGATTTCTTGGAGAGTGGTTCAGGTGAGGACTGGGTGAGGATCCAGAGCTTGCAGAGGAGCTGGTAGAACCAACGTCGGCAGAGGAGGTGAGTTGGCGAGGTGAAGCTGACGAGAAGGGGGATCTCAACAGAGCAGGAACAGGCTGAGTGCCATTCAGCCGCAGGCAGACGAATAGCAGGAAACAGGCAGGCAAAGCTCGTAGTCAAGGACAGAAGGCAGGCAGGTTTACCGGGGCTGAGGCGAGAAGCAAAGGTCAGGGGCAGATCAGGTCGATACCAGGTAAGCAGTCCGGGAATTAACGCTGGAGAGTCAGGCATGAGAGCGAAGACAATCTGGCAAAGAGTGAGGGGAAAGAAGCTGCATATATACTGGCCTGATTGGAGATGATGAGCAGGTGAGAGCAGCAGGTGGAAGCAGTTAGCTGATGAGGGGTGTGGCTGAGCAGCAGAGCAGGAGAGGGGCAGAGCAGACTGTTACATGTTTGAAATGTAGCTCAGCCTGGACCGAAAACAAAGGTGGCATAGTCAGGCAAAGATTTTCGCTCAAATTTATGAATAAATCATCAGACTCTGCTTTTATTTTTACGGCAGTGGATCCAGACAGTCTCCAAAAGCTGAAGACTGTCTCACAAAGTGAGTGGACTTTACTGTGATTTGGTGAATCTGTGCTCTGTCTGTTTGCGCCGATTCTCTCTCACCATGCATCACATCATTGTTTTGCAAGATCCACAGGGTGAAGAGGAAGGCATCGATAGCTGTTTAATTTAAAGGCATGTGTCAACGGCTCAGACTAGTTGTTATTTGCAGCCAGTTCTCGATTCCCATCCCTTCTCCTCTCCACCTTTTGAAAGGTAACAACAGCTTCATTTCAAGTTTGCTCTCGCTCCAACATTTCTCACAAGGATGCATGAGAGTCAAGCTCTTACTGCATGTTCCTCTACACGACACGACCAGCAGACAACGTGCAGCGGAGAGACAAGGAGTCAGAGCTGTGCGTGTCTTCTGAGCCTTATTAACATTCATCTCCTGCAGAAGCCGACGGAATAACAAACACTGGATGTGACTTTTAAATACAGTAACTGTGTTATTCCCGTTCGAGGACTGCGAGTGTGTAGTAAATGAGTGGAACAGCAGTGTGTGATATAATGTGGATTGATACTCTCATAATAACTGTGCTCGGCTAAGCAGGCTATCAAAAGAAAAAGCCCCTTCAGCGATCTGCCTCTCTAGCTCTTTTTTATTTCGCTTTCATTTTTCATACTAATGCAAATTTGATTGCGCGGCGGACCGGCTCAAAGCACGACTAGTCGCGTTGCCGTGATGGACACACTGATAAACATGTTTCTGAATGGCTGTACATCATTAATTCAACTGTATATGCTCCATCATTGATTCATATTCTCCATAATTCACACAGTGTCGCTTATTTCTTCGGTTAAATTGACTTTTCTCGCACATACACACACCCACACATATCTGTGCGTTCTGAAATGAACTGCCGGCCTGTTCCTGTGAGAAAACCTGATTATTTCATCTCAGTTTCAAAGCCTTTGCATTGATTTGAGTAAAAGTGTTTAATTTACTTTTGGACAACAACATAAAAAACGAATCAATATTTCAGACTAAACACCGAGACAATGAGCACCTTTTATCATCGGCTCGTCTCAGCCCGCGCCAGAGCTCAGTGAAAGGTTTTACATCTCAGTCTCTTCATGTCCCTCAAAAGCAGCAATAGACCCAAATGTTCCTGCAACAATGACATGAAAAGCATTAAATTTAACGCTGCTCTCAGTCAATCAGCCGTCTACATCTGACGCACTTTGAACGAAATCTGCCTCTGCGTACCCATCGATCATGGTTGCTGTTTATGCTCCGAGCCCTCCGCTCTCTTTTGTTCCTTTGTCTTCCTTTCTCTGAGACTCGCTTTGAATTATTCCACCCTAAACTCCATGTTTTGTTCTTTTACTCATCATAACTCACTTGCAAACA